GTAGGTCCTTTTTATTTTACTGTTACTTTGGATGAGGTTTTCATGAGTCAGTCAAATTAATTTGTTTTCAAATGCCATATTCATATGTATCACACACATAGGGGTAAGACACAAACCTATTTAACAAATGCAATGCAATGGATAAGCTTAATTTCCACTGAAGTCACACATAACGTCATATATAATATTTAAACAAATCATTTCCTTGTCACTAAAGCATTGACTACGCTATTCATCATCCTTAAATGCAGGAATTAAGTTACATGTTCCGTTGTACAGCCACGATAAGGCTGTTTCTCAAGTGTGATGATAATACAATTAAAAGAGGCATTGGTAATAATATTAAAAACAACAATGTTTGGGTCGGATAGGCGGTTAGCTGCAATAAATAACTCCAGTTCAACAAACCATATTACAATATCTAAGGGAGCGTTATTTCTGGACCATCTTGAAATGTGACGTTCATATTTTAAAGATACACACATTTCATTGTGAGGTTGATTTAATATACACTAAGCCTCTCTTCAACAATACGTTGAAGTTAGCTAGTCTATTTTATGCTATAGTAGAGCATAGCGAATTTAAATTAACCTTAACAATGCATACAGTAACCTAAATAGCAAACTAACTATCTAACGTACAAGGATGACCTTATTTTAGCAACCTCGCACAGAAGCCTTTTTCCATGTGACACTGGAAGTGTTGCACGGCCAGATACGGCTGGAGAAGCTGACTCAGATAAGGAAATATATGATATATTATGATATTATATGATCGATGATCTGATTGATGATGTAATATGAATGATAAGTGCGACACGTCGGCGTCTTCTCTGCATACGGCAGTTTAAACTGTATTTCCTTTATCCTGTAATATGACTTGAGAGATTTAAACTCCGCACACTGAGTTGATCTCTTTTCTATAGACGCCGGAGCCGTAACAAAAGTTATTTAGCCTTCCCAAACCTGAGCCTCACGCGCCTCCTATGGGGGATGTGCTAGTGACTTATCCGACCGGCCCACTTCGGTACCGGCCCATCGGGATTCGTCCCGATGGCCAGTCCCCCACTGCACCCAGCCCACGTAAACTGTCAACGGGGGGAGCCTCGCTGCGGGGAAACGGTGGACCTGGGGCCTATACTACGAAGCTGGTTCAACCTAACCTGGATATGTTTGAGTTAGCCGGTTGGCCTAATCCAAAACATACGCGCTCTCGCTAAACTGTACTACGACGCGGGTTATCAAGTGGATCGCTCAAGCCAGCCGTTTCCTATCTAGTTAGGTGCGCGTTCACATGAAAGGGGTGGTATTTGGAGCATTCGACCAATCAGAAACATGGAGAAGCGTACTGACAGCGCAGCGTCATACTTCCTGAATGAAAAGTGAACTTTAATACTAGTCAAAAATGAAGAAGTTAAACTTTAAACATCCATGACTTAAACACTTGATCCAGGATCAAAGCCACAGAGCTGCACCTGCAAGGTGAATACAGCTGGCAAAAGAAAAAGTGTTTGAATGCGTACATTAACAGGTTTAGGATATCACTGCCCGTCTAAGACACCATCTGACTTTCATTACATTTGTCTTGAGTGTTTCGTCAACTTAATGTGTTGCTTAAAATAATACTTCTGCATGTGACACTGTGAGTGTTGCACGGCCAGATACGGCTCAGCTGACTCAGATAAGAAAATATGATACATTATGAAGTGATATGCCGCGGACTGTACTTAATGTTACTCTGATCCGGTTACTTATGTTGTGGCAGATATTTAAGTAAGCTTTCTTAACGCTAATGTTATAATAGTCAGATTGCTCTGAAAATGGAGGTGATATTCTATTCATGTTCACGTTCACACAGTCGGTGATTTTTGCCGGCCGTCTTTCCTGCGACGGCAGCTTTTCTGTATTTCCTTTATCCTGTAATATGACTTGATCGCTTTAAACTCCGCACACTGAGCTCTGATTGGTCAGCAGGCAGTGCTTTCACTGAGTTGAGCTCTTAGCCTGCAACCTAACCTGGTCCCGACCAGGTTAGCCGCTAAGCATAAGTTACCATGGAGATCTAGCCTGCTAAAAAGAGAACCAGCTTCGTAGGACCGGAAAGCCGGAGTTTTCCCTGAATTTAGCCGGCTAAGCGAAAATCCTGCTTCGTAGTATATCCCTTGGTGTCCCGATCGGAGTGGGAATAATAATAATAATAATCCGTGCATTTTATCCATTAATTTCCCAACATTGTGGTGAAAAAACCACACGTTTAATCCATGTTGGTGTACTACAACTACAAAAAGCATCGGTTTGTTTTCTCATCAGGAAATGCAGACCGGCACAAACAAACGATTTTTAATCATCATCCTCACGATCATTTAATGTATCATATGTTCGCCGAATTGACATGAAAGCACTAATAAATGTAGTTTCATCCACTTGAGTTTACAACTACAAGAATAATCGGTTTGTTTTTATATCACATCCTACGGGAGGAAATTCAGTAGCTCTCACTGCCGATTTTTAATCCTAATGTAATCATCATCTTCACCACGATCATTTATGTTTATGTTCGCCGAATTGACATGAAAGCACTGACAAATATGAATATACTGTAGTCAACTTCATTACAACGTTATTAACGTGCCTAAACTCAGTAATTCACCATTTCTACGCATGACAACACACTTTGTCCGTGTTTGGCTCTCTCGCCGCACAGTGAAGCGTTCCCGCTATGACGTCACTTCCGGCTTCCCCCAAAACTTCAAAATGAGTCGAAGGAATTTCCCCGCGATGTTCGAAATTATTGATATTTAACGGAACGGTATCGCTTTTTCTTTTTTAAACTGCCGGTTCGATATTACTAGTAGCCCAATATTTCATTGCACAACAGTTGTTGGGATGCTGTCACAGGCTCTTTAATGTTTGAGCACCCTCTATGAAACGTCAAGCTACCCCACAGCACCCCCTAGAGAAAATCTCTGGCGCCGCCACTGAGCCTACGCCACTTTCGGGTCCCGGGGGAGCAGCTGGCAGCCCAGATAAAACTCTTTCTTCATTGTGTGTTGTGTATTCAGTCAAGCGGGTCAAAGTTACAAATCACTTCACATTTTATTAATCGGCCTAATTTTACTTTACCAGTGCAGTAATAAAGTAATCTGTAGAAAAGCACCGTATTTAGGTTAGCCTTCAGAGTAAGGCTACATTAAATGTTATAATATTCATCGTGTCCTTTCTACTGTATATGCAGGGGTGCACATAACTGGTACGCAGGTACGAATGCCCGGCAACAATCTGAAATGCGTAGGCCTACCGTCACTTGTGTCACAAAGCGCATTTGCGTACCGACGTACTTGTGAAGCTTTTCCAGAAGACGATTAGATCACCGGAAGACAGAGTCGGTCTCCGTGTGCACAGACAGGGCTGCTGTTAACGTCGGTCCGTACAACGGAATTGTGCCAAAACTACGCCAACCGGCTGCGGAGGGAGACACTGCAGATCCGTTTTACACTTGGACATTTATTTGTGAGTTTGCAACTCTTTTAAACGCATTTGTGGATGGTGTTTTACATTTACAAATCACATATTTACACACAAATTATTTTTATGTTCACACAAATAATTATGAGACATATTTATGCCCATAGTGAATACACGTACTATACAGAGATGCTGTATGAGAAACCAATGTGATTTTGGAAAATTGCACAATTTAAATCTATTCTAGTAGACCTCAACAATGGAAATATGATCAGTAGAAATGGCCATGACATGGGACCTTTAATGTATTATATTATTGAGGTAGAATTGTCCGGGGCTAAAGAAAAAACATCCGGGGCTAAAGTACGGTGGCCCTGAAGTGCAAGTCAAAACAGCATTTCACAAAACACCACAGCATTTCAGAAAAGGCTACAGTATTTCAGGAAACACTACAGCATTTCACAAAACACCACAGCATTTGAGAAAACACCACAGCATTTCACAAAACACCACAGCATTTGAGAAAACACCACAGCATTTCACAAAACACTACAGCATTTGAGAAAACACCACAGCATTTCACAAAACACTACAGCATTTCACAAAACACCACAGCATTTCTACAGCACAGCATTTGAGAAAACACCACAGCATTTCACAAAACAATACAGCCGCGGTGAAACCTGAAACTCGAGCGATTAGAGCGATGCGAATATTCATGTAAATACTATGGTAGACTACAACAAAATGAACATATTTTACTGTGATTTTATTGTAATACACGTTTCAAAATGATGCCGAAGTAACAACATACTGATACCGGTTAGTAAAAAACATGAATTAATGCTGTGACAAGTGTGCAGACAAGACGGCAGGCGAAAACCCTTTTAAAATGCGTGTTTTCTGAATGGAGATCGGATCGATCAGGATAAACCAACCTGTAGCTCAGTGGTTCTTAAACTTGTTCTACCATTCCCCGCTTTTCAAGCCCCACCTGTGAGCTACTTTTACTCCTCTTTTTTTTGTTTCTTGCAGTGTATACATTTTGCATATTTTAACATTATTATATGCTTACCTTATGCTGTTTGGGTCTGTGGGACCCGTTTTCAGGGTTTACTCAAATAAAATGTATGCAATTAAATTATTTTAACCTGCTTTATTTGAGGGTGAACCTCACATACTCTTGGGGGGTCCGGGGGCATGCACCCCCAGGAAGATTTTTTTTTAAATGTTGAAGTTAAATGCATCAATATGATGCACTTTGAGCACAACATTAATGTATGGATACAGCTCTCAACCAAGGACGTGCACAGTGCAGGGCCACCACACAGGTCAACAAACCAAATCCATTGATTAATTTAAAAAAATGTGCACGTATAAACATATAAACTGTTCTAATTGTCTCTTATTGCTAAACTCGGTTACTTTTACAGCTGGTTTTAATAAAACAACATTTTCCATATCAGAACAATCAGACATCAAACATGCAACCACTTGTTACTGTAAAAAAAAATCGACATTTCCCTTCAGTGGTCATTTCTACAGAGAAACCTGAACGCAACATCCCAGCAATGAATTGAGGTTAGAGGAAGATGAAAACAGTAATGGACAAGGAACGCACATAAGGTAGCCTTGTATTACTACAAAAAGCATTGTTTCATGTTAAATAATTTGTTTGGCTTAAATGTGTTAACAGTGTACCGAGGGAACATCGTGTATTCTATAAAAATACTGTCGTTTCGACCTACGACTGCTTGTTGTGTAGCTAAGTTAGCCTCCGTAGCTTAGGAACTAGCTAGCGTTATTAGCTGTGTGTAACATTACCGTTGTTACATTGAACAGTACGACTCAGATAGTGGGAAATATTAGCTTGCATTAGCTGGTTTTAATAATATTAAAAGAGAACATCTTGATTACCGACTGTGTCGCTTGCAGCCGTTAGTTCACTCCCCCTACTCTGTGTTCTCGTTCAGCTGTTGTTGTTATGGCTGTTAGTGAAACCAAACAGCAGCCATCATGTTATCCCACAGGATAGACGTGCAGTTATGTTGTCATACATGATGAGTATGCAACTGCGCAACAATTTATCTGCGCCATAGCTACGATGCACTCATAATTCTCGCTTGTAACTGTACAAAATATAGTAGTTTGTCCGTGGTTGTATTCTCTTTAGCGACCTCACGATGTCGCTGTTTTGCATTTGGTCCACATTTGCATTTTCATATTAATTGTATGTCTAATGAGATCTTAACTGGCAAGACTGAATATACTTGTATGGCAAATTAAATGTAAAAATAAATCTTCATTGTAACGTGTAAGTCACAATTTAAATTACCGATATATTTCATTTTCGATCTGGTGTTCAGAGATAGTTAAGCAATTATTTTTTGGGTCACCTGAAAATGTCTTTATTAATATCAAATTAAAGATATATATCTATAGAATGCAATTTCTAATATCTAGAACTACCATTAAGGCATTACATTTTAGTTTCTATTAGACGCATTCCCTTTTACAAAATGTTGTATATGATCAATAAAGCTGCAGATGAATAGACTATCAACTAATCAAAAGACAGAAACATTATAATAGCCAACTATTTTGATAATTGATTTATGGTTCATGTTCAAATAATTGTTAATGCAAAAATGAACAGCTTCTCTCTGTTTTACATATTAATACAAGTATTTATGGGTTTCCAACTGACAAAGCAAGACATTTGATCAAGTCACCTTTGATTTGAAGAAATTGGGATGGAAATGTTAAAATATTGTCTGGCATTTTATAGACCGAATTATTATCAAGCTAGAAAAAAAAACTGTGGATTAACTGTAAAAAACGTTGAATGCAGCCCTAATGATCAACAGTTCAGCATTTTCGTAATACCATCGAGTAACGAGGATGCTGACAGGCTGTCACAAAACTGTAAATAAATGATGACCTGTCTGTATAATATAAGCCTGCAACGTGTGAGACTGAGTCGCTGTTTGAGGGTTGTTGGATCCACATGTCACTCCTATTTTAGTTTTTTCCACCAGCTCTGTTGCATTTTATTTCTCAGAGTTAATGTAATTGTACTTGTCTGATCTCACTACAGGTTGTTTATGTCAGACCACTGACTGGCACTTCACAAAAACCACAAAAGGAGACAAGAGGGAGTCAGGAACCATGGAGGCTCGCTTTGGTAATATTGTGTTCAGCTCCAAGTTTGACTCAGGGAACCTGGGACGTGTGGAGAAGGTGGAGAAGGGCAGCTCCAGCCCTCCTACCGATATAGCGCCCAGTGGGAACACCCTCTCAGGATCCAACCTTACCCCTGACTATGAGTTCAATTTGTGGACACAGCCAGACTGCGCCGGCACGGAACATGAGAATGGAAACAGGTATAATATGTAATTATTTTACATTATTCACATGAGGTCAGACACAACACATTTTCTAAAACTTGAATTTTATATTATCTAATAACAAACAAAAAACATGAATGTAGAAAAAAAAAGATATACACATCAACATTAATAAAATAAATGATATTAAAACAAACAGATCACCTCTTTTGTAACATTTAAAGAGCGCTTTCAAATTGTTGACTGTGATCTGATTCAATATGTTTTCTTGTCCTTAATTGTTTGGTACATTTGTGATTGAATCTCAGATTATTTAGGAAATAGGTAATATTGCAATCTGGTTTAGTCACCAACATTTAACAAATCTTAAATTGGAGATTTAGTTTTGGCTTTAAGTGATGGGCCAAAGTTCACCACTGTAAAGGAAAGTGGTGCGTGAGATTTTAAATGATTCAATAAAAAATGAGAACATAATTTTTAAACCTATAGGCAATTCCATTATCTTGTTTTCATAACCATTTGAAGCCACAAACCATGACATTTAAATATAATAATTGCACAAAATTGCACCTATTAGCAATTTCTTTTTGGAAATACACGTGTTTTTGCTGTTTCAGATCGTGGTTTTACTTCAGTGTACGGGGTACTGCACCAGGGAAGATACTGAAGATCAATGTGATGAACATGAACAACCAGAGGAAGCTCTACAGCCAGGGCATGGCTCCTCTTGTACGCACTTTACCTGGCAAGAACCGGTGGGAAAGGATCCGAGACAGACCCACATGTGAGGTATGTACGCATCCTGGCTGTCAGGGAGAGGAAGTGGGCATCAGGTGGCAGCAAGCCTGAATGCTCTTGTGTTTTATATAAAATATCCCTTTTTCTGTGGTTTTGCAGATTGTAGATAACCAGTTCATCCTCTCGTTCACTCACCGGCTGTTGGAGGCTCGCGGGGCAACCACCTTCTTCTCTTTCTGCTTCCCGTTCTCCTACAGTGAGAGCCAGGAGATGCTGCAGCAGTTTGACAAGAGCTTCACCAATGCTGCTCAACTCAGTCCGAGCAGGTAAAACAAACACATCATCTTGCCCTCAAACACACATACTATGGGAGGTAGACGCTATTGTATGCAGAGAATGCAGATTTGTAGTATCTTCTTACAAAGTATACAGAGTTGAGTTTTCCTGATGAGCAAACTAAACCATGGTACGTAAGTGGCTACGTTTTAGCCCTACGTCATAGTTCAAACTGAAAAGCTGAAGGACATGTATTAATTCTAATGATCATTATCAGAATTTAAACATAATTCAATGTAATCATATATTTATCTAAATATACAGTATATAAAGTATTAATACAAAATACATCTTCGCCTTTTTATGCAGCTGAAAAATGCTTAAATGCAACTCAGCTCCCACGCACACACAGCCATGTTTAAAAAAGTCGTTATTTGAAAACTTACCTTCATTTCGTTTTTTTCCCTTGCCCCTCTAAATTGTACATTTTCTGACTTTCTCCCCCACCAATCTCCTTCCTCCCTCTGTCAGTGCCCCGGACAGTGTGTATTATCACAGGGAGTTGCTGTGCCACTCTCTGGATGGCAATAGGGTGGACCTGCTCACTGTGACCAACTGCAACAGGATGCAAGAGGAGAGAGAACCCCGCCTGCCTAAACTGTTTCCAGACACAAACACTCCACGACCACACCGCTTCTCCAGCAAAAGGGTATCACTCAATTCAACATAAACACAGAATCTCTTTTCTCTTTTGTTCTGTCAAAGCAGTGATGCTGACCCTTGTGTGTTTCGCAGGTGTTTTTCCTCAGCAGCAGAGTGCACCCCGGGGAGACTCCGTCATCCTTTGTGTTCAACGGTTTCCTAAACTTTATCCTAAGAAGAGATGACCCCCGTGCTCACGCACTTAGAAACATGTTTGTGTTCAAGCTCATTCCCATGCTCAACCCGGACGGGGTCGTCCGTGGGCACTACAGGTAAGAACTGCCCATGTTCTCACCTGCACTGTGCTCAAAAACCACATTGTCAACATTTATTTTCATTTATCAAGTTGATCAGAAAGTGCAACTTAATGGACATGAGTAAAGAATACATCTATATATGTTAACGGTTTTACCTAATTGAATTGGTTTTAATCACATTTAGACTATATCTTACATATTTATTACATGTTTTATGTATCTAATTTTTATTTATCTATTTTACGCTTACCAGTGTTATCCTTTGTTCCTTTTGTCTCTTATTGGTGTTGCCGCTATGACACCTGAATTTCTCTATGTTTTTATCTTAAACTAGTAAAAATGCGTTTTAAAATTATTTTAACATGAGTTAAAACTTGTCTGACTCAGTGATCGGTATAGTTTAAACTCCTTTTTCCTACCATCCTTCAGTCACAGGGATACTTCCCCTTCCTGAAATGTGTCCTATACATTTTCATACATGTAAAAAGCTGATTAAAACCCTACTACATACATAATAAGGTTCTTGGAGGAGACATCTAGCTGAAGAAGTAAGGTTCTGCTCCTACTCAATTATGGAAACAAGTTTTCTAGTAGTGTATATGACATTTAAGTTCCCAGGTCACTGCAGAAAGCCAGCTGTAATCTAGTCATTTACAGTAAGTGCATGTAAACGCACACACTGCTGGTCTGGCAGAGGTTAGAGGAGCCAGGTCGGATGTCAAGTGTTGAGCAGATATGGGTTGAAACTGCGTCACTGTGTCTCAGACAATGCTGTTTTAGGGGTATCAGTTAACAGTGTCAGGGTCTGCTGCTTCCTCTTCAAGCTAATGTGGGAACTTTTTTAGAAAATTAGCACAAAGTGCCATTGATTTCCAAGACCTATTTCCTTGGAGAAATGCATGGCAGGACTTCGGCTGTCCCACTATCCACAATACATTTTATTGATGTTATTTTAAATGTTTTGGTAATGGTAACTGTCTTTTTTGCAGGACTGATTCCAGGGGTGTGAACTTGAACAGACAGTACCTGAACCCCAGCCCTGAGCTGCACCCTTCCATCTATGCAGCCAAAACACTTTTGCTCTACCACCACACACACAACCGCCTGCACAACACACAGTCCAGCACTCACTTTAACAGCCCCTCAAACATGCAGGCCCCGCCCATTAGCAATCCACCCGCCAATCAGCACCAGTCTCCTCCCTTCACAGCCCTTGAAGTTAGCTTAAACCAACGAAATGTGGAGAAAGACGCAAATCCTGCATCGCCAGAAGTTCCCATGGTGATGGAGGAAAACGGCTGGGTTACCAACGAGATGGAGAAAGGGGACCTAAACACGTCATCAAGCTCTCCGGAGACTGTACTTCCTGTTACTGTTGAGGAAACAGTACCACAGGTGGAGGAACATGAGTCAATTCCAGCCCAGGAAGCAGGTGTGGCGTATTATGTGGACCTACACGGCCACGCCTCTAAACGGGGGTGCTTCATGTACGGGAATAACCTCTCTGATGAGAGCCAGCAGGTAAACGCTTTGATTCTTGTTTTTTGTCTTTTCTTGAAATATTCTTCTCCAGCAGCTACAGCAGATAGGGCACTAATACGTTTTGTTATGCACATCTAAGCTCTTGTTCACTCCCTCTGCAGGTAGAGAACATGCTGTATCCAAGGCTGATAGCCATCAACTCGGCCAACTTCGATTTCCAGGGCTGTAACTTTTCAGAGAAAAACATGTATGCACGAGACAAGAGAGACGGCCAGTCCAAAGAAGGCAGCGGGAGGGTGGCCATTCACAAGGCCATAGGGCTGCTTCACAGGTCAGATTGGATTCACAAAGCATCAAGAGTTGATGGTAGTCGCTCCAATAGCACATAGCAACTTTCAATGATCCATTTAAAAAACAATTGTTTTGTTTTGGATAGAAAAAAATACACCTTCCTGGAATTAAAGAAATGTGATTACCCACCTTTTAATATTTCATGGTGTTTTACTCATATTTAACTACGCCAAAATGTAAAATATATAACCAGTAGGACTGGGCGATATTGCCTACAAATAAAATGTAATTTGACAACACTCAACTAACCCTATTTCAACTAAATGTAAACCTTTTTTCTCCTAAAGAAATCTAAGTTGACCCAAAAAGGGAAAAATACAAATAAGTGTGTTTTTTACAAAAGCAATCCTATCGGGATTAATCAAATGAAAACTTACCTTCGACAAAACATTACTAAACCCCAGTACTTGCTTGTCCTTTTAAATAAAAAAAATGTCCATACTGTTACTACCCCAATTTCATAAATAAACAACCCATAAACCAGTCATTCAAATTCATTTATAAAGTCAATTTATCGCCCAGTTAATTACCATCAGTCTGCCGTCAGCCCTTTCTCTGTCATTACAATAAATATGAATGGTCTGATGTTAACTCATAAAGTTTAAAAACATTTGCTTGCTGTTAATGTATATGTTTTATAAATGTTTCTGTTATTGGATCCCAACCAGCTACACTTTGGAGTGCAACTACAACACTGGAAAATCCATGAACACCATCCCACCTGCTTGCCATGACAACGGACGGGCAACCCCACCTCCACCTCCATCATTCCCTCCGAAATACACTCCAGAAATATTTGAGCAGGTAAGAAAACAAGAGTGTTTTCTGTCCAGGTTTAACTTCTCATTCAGTAAGGAATGCGATTGCAAGGGTACTTAAATGAAACATGACGCATCCTCCTGATTGATGTTGTGAATCAGGTGGGGCGTGCCGTGGCTATCTCAGCCCTGGATATGGTGGAGTGTAACCCCTGGCCTCGCCTGGTGCTGTCGGAGCACAGCTGCTTGACGAACCTTCGAGCTTGGATCCTGAAGCACGTCCGCAACAGCAAAGGCCTGAACACACACATCCACGCTCATCCTGCGCCAAGAATTCACCACAACGGCAGCAAGGCCTCCCCGCCAAAGAGCTTCAACAAGTGAGTTTACATGTAAACGACGATATGCAGTGAGCTGGTTATTATAGCGAAAATGTTTAAACACTCCCAGTCCATAAAGGGACCGTTATACCTTGTTCCCTTAAGTGTTTACTTCCTGTCTGTCGTCCTTTACTTCTTCAGATTTGTCTTTCCTCCAGCTCTCTTTAGCTCTTTCCTTCTCTTGTCTTGTTTTCTTGTTCTCTTTTTCTTTTCTTTACTCGGGACATTTTAGCTTTCATAAATCCAAAGTTTTACCCTCTCATTCAGAAAGTATTCTATGAGGTTTCCTGATGGAGGAAAACTTGATATGACTTGATCTAAATTGATATGACTGCACATGGTCCCATTATCAGAACGTCCTTAGCAGCGTTCTGCTATCGAAAAGGACTGTTGAATGTCCAAATTGACCAATCAGAATCAACTTTTCAGCTAAGCCGTTTAATAACTCTATACATCCCCAAAAAAGGCTACACTTCAGTTCCCTAGCTTATTTGTATGTTACATTATGGTCTTCCTGTTTGTCTCTTCCAAGCAGCTGTCTGTCTGGCTCAGCGTCGGAGAACGCCCTCAATCGCATTCGCTGTAACAGCCACAGCAGCCAGACGCCCTCCCCGAAGATGCACAACTCCCCCAGCTTTACGTTCGGCTTTCCCCCGCCCCGCACCCACACGCAGCACAACAGCACGCATACCAGCGGACGTGGAGGCAACAAGGCACTCGGGCCGGTCAGGGGTGAGTCGACCTCTTAACCATCGCTTCTGTTGCTGGCTGGCACTTCTATCCCCCCTCTGGGTGTACCTTCGCTCTTCTTATTTTTTTTCTAAACATCACATATTCTGTCATCTAGTTTCTCTCTTTTCTTGCTACGATCCTCGGTTTCTGCTGTTAGAGTGGTCGAAATGGGTGTTTGATGTTTTTAGTGTCTGTGTAACTGTTACTTCAGGTTTATTGTGATGGTTGTTTATATTATGTTCGGAAGCCCTGAGATCTACGTAAGAAAAAAACATTCTGGTGATTTATTTCTCAATCTGATCTGAATGTTTTCCTCTCCTGAGTTCATGACTTAGCAGCACATGTTGCCAACTCTATCATCTATCTTTATTTATTTTTCATCTATGCAAAAGGAGAAATAAAGTTTTGCCAGGATAATCTTTTCAAGTAACATACTGTGTGGTGTGTTTTAACTTGTCAAAACACACCATGTATCACACTGTTTTTAAAGTAAAAATACAAACTTACATTATACTACGTTATACTTTTTTAAATGTATGAACAAAGAGAAAAAAAATTTGATCAGACTTAGAAAACGTATCACCAGAAATGTTGGGATTTGGCTGGATTTTAGAGACACATTGAGTACTGTCCTGGTGTTCCTATGGCCTGAAACATCAGTATGACCCCTGCATGACCTCCATATGACCTTACCACCTGTGCATGCATTTTTTGCCTTTACATTATTTGTATACCCAGATGAAACCCCATGAGCCCTGTTCCAAAAATCACCCAGATCAAATTGGTTATTTATACAAAAAGAACATTTCCATGAAGCTGAAATGTTTGCATTTTATTCCATCCTACATAATTCTTCCATCTCGCTAAGTCGCTAATGTGAAGGAGACCTTATGTGTGTGTACCCAATCCCTGCATGTCTCTGAGCATGTGTGTGTGTCTCCCTCTCCGTAGACCCTAAGCCTCAGGAGAAGAGACGCCCCCCCCCACCACCGCTCCATCCTACGGTCTCCCAGCAATAGCCACGCACCCTCCCTCCCCCCCGCCTCACCCCCTTCCTCCTCCTCTTCCTCGTCTTCGTCGGTGTGTGCGGTGGGCTCCTGTCCCATCGTGGCCTCCGTCACTATGACAGGTCTGTACTCCCTCCAGTCCCCCAGCCTCTCCACCTTGCTCCCCTCCCTGCAGGCTCTGCCCCGCCCCGGGCTGCTCTCCAAACTGAGCCCCCTGCTCCTTCAGGCCCTGCCGGCACCCCCCACCTCTCCAGCTGGGTCCACACAGGACTCAATTTGACATGACCTGTGTTAGCTTGGGCGTAGGTGTGTTTTGCTGAGTGAGTGTGAGCTCTTAGAACTGCTTGGAGTACCAGACAAGGTGTTAGAAGCTATATTAAGAGACTGTATTTACAGAAACGGCATCTGCCTGATACTCCAAGTACTCTAGGTCAAAACAAGTGCAAATCACTGCTTGCTCTCCGGTCGGTGTGTGTGTGGGTGTGTGCGCGTCTGAAACTGGTGCTAACAATTCAAAAAATGTCCTTAAATACATGTATCGTTGTTTTTCATTCTGCACATATCTGTTAAATACGAAGGTTCTGAGAGGTAAGTGAGAAACATTAGAACAATTGTATTCTGCCATGTTTTAAGTTATTATTTTTTTATTAAACTAGGACCATGCATACAAATACATTTCTCAAAGAGAAGAGACGATTTATGCAATTTTCTCTCATTTCCATCTGCTGTCCCCAGGCATGTACACACACAATAATTAATAAACACTTAAAACATGAATTAGTCTCTATTACACTCACAATCATACAGACCAATCTGTATCAATCAATTGCTTTCTTTCCTGTATTAATGAGCGCAAAACAGGTGGAAAGAAAGGTTTTGCCCCAGTAATCTAATTTAACTCCAAAAGGTTTTTCGAGGTGAAAAAATAATCCTTTTTGCCAGTAGTCTTTCTGAGTTACTTGAGTTTAGTGTGTGGAAACAGGCAGAAAAAAAGTGTTGCTAGGTAAACATTTGTATGTTTTATCTTTAAGGTGCACCACCCTTTCATTGTTTGAATTCATATATTTTCCAGAATCATTTGATCTTAAAGAATTGATAAATGTCAGGAAGTTTCAAAGATTATCAAAATACCTTTTTTTCGCCTTAAATCACAGGAAAGAAAACATTTATATCAGACCTGAAAATGGATTATAGGACTTTTGTTTCTCACTTACCTCTTTCTGTAGTTTAAAGACATGTTTCTACAGTAGCATTTTAGGATGAATATAACACTTGAGAGTGGAAGCATTTCTAGAATCTCAACTGTGACTGAAAAGTTTGAATTTGATTTCAAACCATAAATCAAGCAAGGGCATCTTGGCTACATAATCTCCCTTTTCTCCCAGGACTCGCAGAACATACAGTAGATATTTGCGGCACACATTAATATTGGAAAAATTATACTAAATGATAACATTACTTGGATTAAGTATTTTGTTCAGTCTGTAATAAGTTGCAAAAAATACCATGTTACTGTGCTGACATTTGGGGAATAGCCAGGGCTTTTCATAACACTGTCTTGTTTTGACACGGTTTCTGTTTTAATGGGAGCTGTTTAAAAAGAGCTCAAATTAGAATGAGATACTTTTGCCATATTGCACTTACTTTTTTTGATTATTTATTGTTGTATTTATTTTTTGAGAACTTTTCGAATGAGCCGGATCAAAGTGTGGCTTCTGTGTTTGTACATTTGCTGAAAGCTACTTCCCAACTCAGTGTATTTTGCTCTGTAATTGTTGGGGAAATACTCAATGTACACTTCCAATATCAGAGTAGCACATGATAACAACTGTAACTGTGTACGTAACAGGATGTATGATAACCTAGAAGAGCGTCAGGACACAATATGATAAGCTATGTGACAACGATTAACATGATGATTCAGCCTCAAGCATGATCATTTCTGACGTGGGCCTTAGCTAATCTCAAGGACACTGTTCAGGAACTAGTTGTCCCAAATGCTCTGTATGTGATGACTACTTACATTCTTGCAAGGATAATAAATACATGTATCCTGTTTTGAAACTCAAGCCGGTGACGAGTGATATTTTCTAACATAATAATTATGTTTTCAAAAATATCACTCGTCACCGGCTTGAACACATGCTTCTATACACAGTATACAAGATGGAGGAATACCGGTTCAAAGCAGTATACAATGCTTAGTTTAGATTAGCTAAGACCCACGTCAGAAATGATCATGCTTGTCATATGTCTATCTCCACAGAGGCTGAATCATCATGTTAATCGTTGTCACATAGCTTATCATATCAAAAACGGTGTGTCCTGATGCTCTTCTAGGTTATCATACATCCTGTTACGTACACAGTTACCGTTGTTATCATGTGCTACTCTGATATTGGAAGATTCAATTGTGTATTTTCCCAACAGTAATGTTATTGTAAAGCAAGCTGAGCACACATATCTGGAGTCAGTTCAGAAAGGACAAAATGTAAGTTTAGTGACTGAAAACCACATTTATCTTGAAAAGATTGTGGTTTTGTTTTTCGTTTGTTATTCATTTCCTTGGTAGTGCTGAAACCTGTGTCATTCCACTGTCAGTCCAATATTAGATTATGATGTTCACGGCGTAGCCTACTGCTAGCAGCCTAATGTTGACCATCGCTGATAATCTTTATATATAAAAAGATTGCTTTATGGAGCTGTTTGACAGCAAGCAATATCATATACAAAAAATGTGTTTCAAGCTTTTGGATGACGCTGTGTTTAGAATTTTATAATACAATTAACTTTTATTACATGTTTCATCAGAGTGGTGAAGAAACCATTGCTCATTATTTATTCAAGCACATTTGTGTGTTACCTAAAGTATGTTGAACCTGGCAGGTATTTAGTAGGCTGTCGATGGTCAAAGTTTATTTATTTTGTGGTTAGCAGAGGTTAGAACATGTCTTGTTGTCTTGGTCTATTATGTTAGCCTTATAGATTATTTGTAGAATTATAGTATTTTGTCTGTAATTCGCTTTGTGTGCTTTCCTCAGAGTGGTCTGTGTTTAAGGAAGGGCCCTTTTGAGCGGTGTAATGAGCAGCTGGTTAAACAGATCATATATCGATTTGATCCAACAGATACAAATTCAGATGATCTGGTCCTGAGTCGCTATACGTCCGCTCCAGTGCTGTGTGACATTGTAGTTATGGTGTGCCTTGCTCTGGTGTCTGTTGTAGGCAGGAGGTTTTAGAGGATCTGCTCATATTTCTTTTTATTGACCAAAACTCTTGGATTATATTTTGATTCGTCCGCTTTGTCTGAGTTTTGGGGAAACGTAAAGTGAAAAAAGGGATTATTTACCTATTATCTTTTTATATAATTTTTAAGTATACAAGCAGAATATATATTCTGTAACTGCAATATTATTTGGACATTAAAGGAACCGTTCAGTTTACCTGTAGTGGTTTTTTTTGTTGCTGTGAGTTAATGATTTTTGGAGATGTCCAGACTAACGAGGGTCATAATTCCTAGAAATTGATTTTTCTATTGCGTCACTGTTATTTCAAAGAGGCTGGCATTTCTACGACTGATATCTCGGCAACTCACTCGATTACAATTTGCATTGATAAATAGCACTTCAGTTAAGACAACAAATATGTATTTTGGATTTTAAGTTGAACTGTCCCTTTAAGATCAAGGGACGTATTTAGGACTTGTTATGACCTTTTCCCAATAGAGCAGAATGTTAAAATGATGCCAGTAATTCTCTTGCTGCACTTTCTCTCTGACATAAATGTAAATGTTTAAACAAGAAAGGTAATATAAGCCTGGAAGAGAAATCTTGGACGCATCCAACACGTTCTGCAAATGTAATGCTCTTTTGGAGTACGGATGGCTCCTTTTGATATAACTAAGAGGATGATTTCAATGTAGCCTCTACCCATTGAATTCAACACATTTAGCATCAGTGACCTGAAGAATGTATTGTAGCTTTATTCTCACTGTGAACTGTGATGTCCTGTTCCCCAGTTGCTTCCCTCCTAAAGCTAATATATGTTTAGGAATAACACAAAGCTTTAGGTGGAAACACTGAATGCATTCTCACCAGGTCTTTCTGCTTTATACTCCTCATGAGAAGTGTGACGTTTCCATCAATGTGGTGCTAACCTTTTATACCAGACTAAGGCTGGTACTAAGTGTTTGTCTGTGTAACAGAATACCACCTTCTTGAATGTGCTTCTGTCTTTCACCGCCTCTCTGTTCAACCTCTGGAATAAAAACTATCCCTTTGTGAAGCAACTCCTGTGTGTGTGTCCTCTAATGTCTGTCCACTCTGTTTGTGTCTGTTATCCAGAAACGCTCAAAATTGCTAAGAAGTCAAACCTCTTTTAGATTTGAAGCTCTTTTAGTCACGCTTGTTATGTCCTGTATGTAATATAAAGAGAATGAACTGTAATAGATACATGTTGTTGTAAAACATTTTTTTAGCATGACCCTGGCGTCCATCTTTGTGTTGCTCATCTGCCAACCACTGCTTTTCCTTTCCCTTATCATTTGTTTGTTTATTCGTATGTCCTTCATGTGGTTAACAGGCCTCAGCTGCCCAGACTTTCAGAGTGGAGGACCCAGTTTGGCAGGTTGGTCAGGAACACCTTTCCCCATACGTCTTGGGCATTTGGGGAAAGGATGCCGGGGTCTCACAATCACCCATCACACCCCAGAGGTTAGCTGACCTTTCTAGCTCATTCAAATTCTCCTAATTTCTTGTATAACCAGTGAACCTCACTGTAATGTCTCCATCTGTCACAGACTGCTAAAGACCTGGGGCCTGATCACATGCTTTCCTCCATCAAATGTAGCAAGTGAGTCCTATCTTGTCTATGTATCTTAGAGATTTGTAATCGCACAGGAAACATAATTAATCAAAAAGCAGTCAAACCAGGGTTGGTATAGAAAGCTGTTGGGTTTTTCCATTTCATTTTAGACCAAAAGATGCTTAGAAGTTTTAGTTGGGAAATAAACCATCATAAATAAGCACCACTTTTATGAATTGTGATATGCAAATTCAAAAACAACAGGTAAAAAGTTGATGCTATGCTTTAAAAACGTAACCATGGTTTGCAAGAATTTCACATCAGCACCACTCGGAAGATAAAAATAACAGGAGTATGATTTTTACCGTCATCATTTATGTTGTAAAACCCAATGGGAATTCTCTAAAGCTGAATTTAACCACAAAACGTATTCCAGGTATCTAACAATAAAAACTATTGACTAAAAGACAAGGGAACAGGAGGTGCATAAATGCTGACTAATTTCCAAGTTTTAGGCCGCACTCCTGCAGTAGTCCATAAACACATAGCATTAAAAACAGTGCAAAATATTGAAGGAAATTATGATTAAGCAATTACTTCTGCATTCTCTCCATTAAACATTTATCCCTGCTATGACTAAAAACAATATCAACCTCTTTATCCCCAGGTGTGAGCTGCAACCTACCATGAGCCGTATCCCCATCAGGAGGGTGGGGTCAACTGAAACCCCTCCTGCGAAATCCCCTACCGGTACTAACCCCGTCTCATCAGGAGATATGGACACAGCTACCATGAAGGTCTGGAAACTGCTTAGACCTGGCCTCCATCGACACCTGTCGCTGTCAGGCATGTATACACAAACACGTTGCTTTGCTATTAGGGGTAGTTTAGATGTTTGAATGGGGGTTGTATTCACAACTTATCCATAGACAGTGAACAGTAGATGGCAGCCGGCAGATCCCCAGTTTGGAAAAATTGAGTTCCCACACAGTAGCTAAGCAATATGTTGCTGTGGATGGGGAAGCAGCAATGAAGCATTCATGTATTCTCTTTTCAAAGCCACCAGACTACATTGACAATATCAGTCATTTTAGAGATTGGTGAGATACTTCTTGCTCAATTAGCTTGTTTGTGTTGAAGCGCACATATGCTAATTTTCAGGTTCATATTTGTGTTTTGTGTCTCCATCGTGACATGTTTACTTTAAAAGGTATTTTTCCCAAACTGCCCGTGCTGCAGCACCTCTTTTCACCCTCTGTCTGTAACCAGAGCCCAGTCTGCTCTGATTGGTTAGCTGGTCGACTCTGTTGCGATTTGTCAACCACTTGGAGATGTGTCGTAAAAGTCCCGCTCCTAATGCTGCGTTCACACCGGACGCGATGCGAATATTCGCTTCGCTCTAATCGCTCTTATCGCATCGCTCTAAGCGCTCGAGTTTCACCGCGGCTGTCAGCTGTGTTTACTCGCATTATTCAAACAAGACGCGCTGGCCAGGGGGCTACAACTACAACAAGATGAACATATTTTACCGTGATTTAATTGTAATACACGTTTCAAAATGATGCCGAAGTAACAACATACTGATAATGGTTAGTAAAAACCATGAATTAATGCTTTGACAAGCCTGCAGACAGACGACAGGCGAAAAACCTTTTTAAATGTGTGTTTTCTGAATGGAGATCGGATCGATCAGGCTAAGCTAACGTTGTATATGCTGCGTCCACATTCACAACAACGGCATACAGACATAAATAAAGCAGCGACTGTATTCGCCATGACACAGACAGTCTGTGGTTTGTACATGTTTAACTTTTATCCAGTTTCTGAACAGATATGAGGAGCTCTGAGCGCTAACAGCTAACGGCTGAAGTTTTGGTTTTGTGGTTCAACTTCACTGACGGCAGGCTGAGATCCTCCCCGCTGATTGGCTACCGCGTGATGGTGTCACGCGAATTTGACGCTCGAGTTGAAAAAATTGAACTCGAGCGGTTGTCGCGGCCTCCTTCAATCGCCTCAATCGCGCCGCGGCATTAGCATCAACCGCTTCATGCGCGCCGCCGGAGCGAGTTTGCGTCCGTTCGCGTCTCTGCATTGACTTTACATGTAATCGCGCCGCCCCCAAACATCGGAACAAAACGGAAGAAAACCAAGGAATCCAATGGAGGAATTTCAGGCAGAGGGGGAGTGTGGGAACTTTGGGATTTTAGCCTTTGCAGCCCATTTACAAGCGCAAAAATATAATATAACATACTACAGGAAAGGCAAATCCAAAAAAACACAAGAGGGTAACTTTATTCTTTTAAAGGGTTTGTTTTTGATTCACCAGAGTCACACAGTGATTAAATGTGCATACATACTGTGGGGGAAACTTCTGAAGCAATTGGAGACAGGACTCAGAGAGACGAGGAGAGCTGGAGCTTTGATGGCAAACAAACACTGACGGTTTATTTGGAGCTTCGGCCGGAGAATTCACAAGACATGTCACGGGCCACGAGTTGACCACACGGTTGAGATTCCACATCAATTCTGAAGAACTCTACCCCAGACCTGTGTATTTAGCTAGTTCAGAGAGCATCATCAACATGCTGCATAACAAGATAGAATCATAACACCTCTATCAGCTGATGCCAACAGGCAGGAACAGGGAGACAAAACACTGAGAGCACAGCAGCCAAGGCTAGAGGTGCCTGAGCTCAGTGAGGTCAGTATAAACTGATAAACTGGGTCAAAGTTATGGGGCTTTGGAAAATATTTCCCCAACACATACCACATACTTAAACCACTCAATATGGCTCCTTTATTAACAAGTCTCACAGCGTTACAGAAGATACATCCATTGCTGCTTGGTACTGCTTTATAACTTCTCTCTTATTGTATGTAAACCACACACATACATCGACTTCATATCACTTTTATTTCCCTCTACAGGTGTATCCGGAAAAGATGGTGGCATGCAGTTGGCCTCTAAAGCACTAATGACGAAAAGCCCAGAGATGAGTCTCAGCTACAAAGGAAACACTATCATAGAAACCGCACACGAGACGGATGAAACGGAGCAAGAGGTGAACACAGTTTCAACTGTCACATCAAATTAATGTAAGAGGGAGGTTGAACATGAATGAATCAAATGACTCAAACTGTATGATGTTGTCTTCAAAGGATGAGGAAGCTGCAGTGCTGCCCCTGCCAGAGACTGTGAACATGTGTGAGACAGTGACCCTGTGTGGAGAAGCCTGAGTACTGCACAGAAGAAGAGACACTTGTGTATGTCTGTATTTGCTGAGCCTCACTTACTGTAATGTGACCAAAACACATTTAAAACTAGGAATCAGGAGGGGGCACTGTCATCACGGGAGGATTATTTGAGGCATCTTAATGTGCAATGAAACATAATGTAACATTATGTATTCAGATGTTAAACATTATCAGACTGTTGAGCTGGCAATAGGCAGCTTTACTGGAGCAGCTGGAGGTGTAGTGCCTTGCTCAATGAAACCACAACAGTTGCAGAAGTAGGGGAGAGTTACAAACCTTCCTTATCAAAGAATCCATAGACATTTAACTCTTAAATAGCACCTCACATATCTGTTTTGTAATTATAGTCCTGTCCTTCTGATGTCTCCTCCCCCCAAAAATAAGTTAAATGCACTCTGACCAACACTGTAATGCACTGGTAAGTATTTCTGCAGTCAGCCACTTGTACTATTTTTATTCAGTCTGACGAGCACAGCAGCAACTCTTTATTTCCATTGCGATTTTAGAAACAAATATCAGTGAAGTGTGTATTTTAATGTGATTATTACAGAAATTCTTTGTGTTTTGCATATACAAAGATATTCACCCTTAATGGACATTTTTACAGATTGTTTAAATAGGATATGTTGAAACTGATCCACAGCAAATAAATGTGATGGTAAAGCTAAGTAAGTGCAAATAGGAACAATTATAATCTGCACATATCCTATTGAATGAGATCACCTGTGTGTGGTGATGTTAGGATAAATACTTGGAGGGTGCAGCTACTAGTAAGATATTAGATAGGACAAAAACAAGGTGACTGAAAAGTAGCAATCGGAGTAATGTTACAGAAAAATATCAAAGGCTATGAATCTACATTTTAAGTAAATTAAGCGGGGGGTTTCTGGTGTTGATGGTCCTTGTGAAAAGGGCCCTTTTGAGAGAGGACCCCAAATCCCATAAAGCCTTGCAGTGGCTGTATCTACTCCAGACTACCAGAAACTGTCACACTGGACATTTATTTTACACATGTACCTAAAATCCAGTTACACATGACATGTGGCTTAAATGTAATACATTAGGGTCGGTTGATATTGTGTTACACTTATTATATATTGTGTATCAAAGTTACTCTCCTTGTCACATTCCTTTTAGGACGTTTTGCTCCACAGCACACAAATACCAACAACCTGTTCTTTATGACCATATATATATATATTCATATTATATAAATAATGTAAGACAAATAGTGTCAGGATTTGTCTTTTTAAATGTTTTGAGCATATCTTAACCCATTCACATATGAACTGATGTTTACCAAATTACCTAAACTGTGACTGATATAATACTGTGTCGGAACTTAAAGTATTAATAAATGAACTTGAGAAAAATGCCCTTTTTTGCAATATATAAACTCAATGAGAATGTATCTAATGTGCATGCAGAATAACGTGAGCACTGAACAAAACATTAAAGCAAATGGCATTCACATATTTTTATTAGAAAAAAACACTACTGTGCAATCATACAAATAAATTCATCTCCTGGGACTGAATGTAGGGAATGTTGTTTCCTTGGTGGCGGCATTGGCTCCCATCTCACCTGTGGGGAGAAATCAAGATGTTAAGCAGGATCCCAGAAGTCAAAGTTTGGAAAGAACAGACCTCTGAATGCAAAAACCAAATATAATCAAAGTGCTGAATCATCTTAGGTCAACATTACCTCTCCAATCATTCTGGAGGGACTCTACTCCAGCTTCTTGGGGTTATTGACTGCAACATAGTGGTACAACACAACCAGCAGGAACAATGACACGCCAAGCATGTTGGCAAATATGGCCAGCTGCACGTCCGTCACCATTCTGCAGGGGGAAAGAGACATATAGTGAGGCGTTAGAAAGCTGCTTGGTATTACGAGAGGTTAATAGGATATGTTTCCTTCTTACAAACATGTATAATAGGCCATTAGTCAAAATCAGCTAAGGATCAAATGAGTGTGCATGCTTTTACTTTGTTTACTTTGCATCATTTGTGTCCAATCCACAAACTTAAATACACATAGTATGGCCTTCCAGTCACTTGCTTACATCCATTCCAGTTACATTATACACTTTGATTTTATAATAGGAATCATTTGAGACAAGAACAACATATACCTGTATAGTTATATATGAAAACACACACATCTCTAGCATGTACGCTAGCACCTGACATGCACTAGATGCCGTCACTGAACACACAGCGCACAAAATCGATTAATTCTGCAAGTGAATACTTTGTAAATTAATCAGAATATCATCGATGTATTGTTGCAACCATTCATTTGTCAGGGATAACATGGTTGTAAACCAAAAGTACAAAATTATGCTAAATCTGTGTAACATTAACCTAGCTAGTAAGCTACTAGTGCAACCAGCTTTGTCTAAACTAACCAATATAGGAACCATATAAAGCTTCGATTAAAATTACAACATTAAACCTATCGCAATGAGTTTTAGCTCATGTTATTACTTACATTATGCCTGAAATTGGGCTTTTACTCTTGGTTCAAGCGATACTTCAGCTGCTCAGCATCAAACAGGCAAATCAGTCGCTTACTTCCGGTTGAAGGGGAAAGCCACGTCACGTTTAAGAGCATCAGACATTAAACACAAATAAAACACTGACTGGACACACCAACAACTATTATACGTATTACTTTTGGGTGACAATATGATTCATTAAAATTATGTCATCGTGAAGTGTACAGGATATGATTGTTTGTATTATTTTTTTTAAATGATGGCAATCATCCAGGCCAGAGGTGGCAGTAGTGAGCTCTGGGCAGCTGGGTGTTTGCGCTCCGTAGGAGTGGCTCAAATGTTTCGACATCACCTCACCCGGCGTGAACGACATCGGCCAAGCTAATGGTTCTTCGACACGGCAGCTAACGTTGGGGTTTACATTTCCAGAGGAAGAGATCTCCATTTACTTCATTGTGGAGCCATACTGTACGTTACCACCATGGCTCTTTACGAATATGTCACTCAGGACCAGCTGGCGGGCTTCGACAAATACAAGGTAGGGGGAATATCGTAGTAGCCTGCTAGCAACTAGCCATTGGACCGACAGTGCGTGTGTGTTTAACAGCTAGCTGTCACGATCTGCAGGGTGCTCCCCTGGCAAGGAGTGTGTAAAGGTAGCCAGCGTAACCTCAAACCATACCAGATACTGCCCTGGAAAATAAAAGCCTGATTAGGTATACCTACAGTATGATGTGTTTAGGTTCATTGTACGTTGCTATGGCTATTATGCTGTTTGATTGGTTGTCCTCTCTAAACGTTGATTGGGTAGAGTTTAAGTTTGTAGTTAAACAGTAAAAGGCACCTTGTAGATGGGAAATGTTTCCTGCGTGGTGCTTGAACTCTAACTACAAGGTTGAATGTCTACCTCCCGAAATATTGTACACCCTATTAAGTCTGGCAAATAAAAGACACATACATACTATTCAAATGTGTTAAATGTCTGAATTGTTCGAAAACATATTGACGAACATACGAACTTTTTAGTTTGAAAGTTCTGGCCGGAAGTCTTGTTTTTGTGCCTTGACATTGGAGCAAGTGTGCTAACAGTTAGCTTGTGACTCCTTGTCTTTGGCTCTGAAATAAGGCTGTACTTTCTGTTTCCTCACATTTCAGACACCCCACGTCTGTTTTCTCTTTGTATATAATGCCAGAAGCTATTTGACAATTACTTGCATGCAACCACAGAAGATACAAGATACCAAATGACAGTTGGCTGTTGTTTTGAATAAGTAATGGATGAACATTTTACCAGCACATAGTACAGTACAAGTGAAATTAATACGTGTTCTATTCATTCCAGCGACCATAGCATGGAATTGATAAAATCCTTAAAAAAGACATCATCCTCTCTGCCTTACAGCTAAATGTTGGTGTTTAGTTATTTCCCATAAAGATGAGCATCAATGTGGCAGTACAGACACAAAGAGCCTGTTGTCCTGTCTCTTGCAATGGAGGACTGTAGAAAACAGGAGTGGCAGCAAATGATCTTCTAACACATTGCAATTTAGTTCTGATAATGGGGTTTAAGTCTTACCTTAGCACTGTACATGTATTAGTTTATAATATACAACGTACTTCTTTAAGTTTACACACACGCCATAAAGCATTTCAGATTGACAGCCTTTTATAATTTCCACAAAAAAATCCTCATTCATTGTAATGCTTTGCCACTCTCTTTAGAGCAACAGATTTCTTTACTTTTTGTTCTTGTCATGCTCTTTGTCCAACTGTAGGTCATTCAGACTTTCTCTAACACAGCCTCCTTTGAATACTGCTGTGAAACCGCTTTTCCAATTTGTTTATCATGCAAGACCCTTTTTTTTTCTCCAATAATTGCTTTTTGAAGTGTCTCACTCGTGTTTGGCACGAGCATCTCTAGCTGAAGGAGGGCAGAAGAAGACACATGTCAGTTAATGAAAAAACCCTCTTGACACAGTGTTTCTATTCATGAAAGGTGCACAGACACAAGCTTACAAATAGAAAGCACATGAGAACGAAGGACTGTCTACTGATTGTGCCGCTACACCTTTCAAGCTGTCACCCATCGTTCCTCCTCTCACTTCCTTTGTCACACCTCCTACGGTCCTACCTCAGTTTGAACATATCTTGTACTTGCGTGAACCTGCCTTCATTTCTACAGTTTGTAAAAAAATGAGAGTAGATTAGGGTCCAACACTACATGTTCTTGCGTATGTGGTGATGAGTAATCACATTGGTTATCTTGTTGATTTGAGGAACAACCCACAACATTATGACTCTCTCAATCAACAGGGGGCAATCTAAATATAGTGTTTGAGTGTTGTCAATAGCATCCATAATCCATAATAATTAAAGGGACAGTTCATTTCAAAATCTAAAATACACACAATTAATTGTACCTGCAGTGCTATTCATCAACGTAGATTGTTTCGGTTACTCAAGATAATCTACAGACCTTTTTGTGTGCAGTTTCATAAAGGAAGTACTTTGTTTTTACTAAACTACACCTCCCAACAATTGAGCGTGTTCAAGAGGAAAATGTGCTTTCTTTTGGGCAGTGATAGTTACAAGTGTAGTTTGGTAATGGAAATAGTTCCTACATGAATCTGCTCAAATAAGGTCTGTACAACACGGTGGCATGGCTTCTAGAAAGAGACATCGCTGTTGAATTCTTCAAATGTTTTGGGTGGCCAAGTAGTGCCATATAGTTTGATTATATTTGAGAGATGGCTGATGTCTCTAACACTTTTCCATTTCCAAAAAACATCTATAAATCCAACAACAAATGAGAGGAAAAATATGTATCTTAGATTTTGCGGTGAAATGTGCCTTATTCATTTAGAAAAATTAAATGTATTGGATGATTATTTTGCAGACCCCGCACAATCTTGTGTAGTAGTGGTTAATTTGAAACACCAGAGAGTCTACTGAATAATTAAACATATTGTAGCCACCTGAAAGGGCAGATCCCAGTTCCCTTCCAACTGATCTCACGGCAGAAGTGAGATCTCAAACTAAAATAAATCACAAAAGAGAGCAGTCCAAGAAGACTCAGAGCCAGCGTTTATTCCTCAAAGACTCAAAAACCTATCGTCTTAAATGGCTTGTACACTGGAGAGGGTGCCTTACGCCGTAGCACACCGTTTCGTCATGCCTGGATTGAATAACAGCGACATGGATCAGGTTTCTTTTGATCTGCATGATGACAGGTCACCAAAATATCCATAAATACCCAGGTTACATGTGAGGTCACGTGACCCTGCTCTACCAGCCGTAGTTTGCTTGCAATAAGTTGAATAAAATAGTCTAATAAAAAAAAAAGAATCTTTTGTATTATGTGTTGATGGCCACATCCTGATTGATTGATTATGTCTCTTACAGTACAGCGCAGTGGACTCGAACCCCCTGTCTGTGTACGTCATGCACCCTTTCTGGAACTTTGTGGTGAAGGTGAGAAACAACCTGTGTGTGTTTGTGTGCATACATAATTCATGAGGTTTCCAACATTCTGCTGTGATACAGTAACAACACAACCCACCACTTTATACTTATTTTCTCTGATCTAAGGCTGTACCGAAAAGTCAAAAGATTCCAAACTTGATTCATAACATTCAAACGTCCTGCAGCTCTATTTGGTATTATTCATTCTGTTTAAATCCTTTTTGTATGCACAGTTGCAGATATTATTATTAGTTCATTTTTTTTTTTTTATTAGATTGTTCTTGTGATTCTAATTCCATAGAATTCAAGTCAAAATGTAATGAAAAAAGATGTTTTTGTCAAACAAAATATTCTGCTTAAATCGGTGTTCTGCTTTTTCTTTTGTACTGTTTGCTCTCCCGCTTGCCATACACAAAGGAGGCAGGCACATTTATTAACCAAAAGCACCATAAATCCCATTTATACACACACATGAGAATTTATGATGATGACATTGGTGAGTTATATCCATAAAACAAGTGAACTCAATTGGACTCCACTCATTTAATCTGATGAGTCACTGTAAAGATGTACGATGGATACATATCCATCGTACATCTTTACAAGCTTTATTTGAAAACCTCAATAGAGGCTTTGCATGTCTATTTAAAAAAAGACATTCGGTACAGACTTAGTCAGCATACATTGGTCTATACTGTGTTGTTTTGAATGTGAACAGGGTTTTATCTCGCTGTCTGTGATTTTATATAACGTAGGGCTGCTCGATTATGGCAAAAATCATAATCTCGATTATTTGGGTCAATAATTGATATCACGATTATTAAAAACTATTATCTATTTACTTTGAAAACATCCATTTATTGAGAAAAAAAAATGG